TTGGAAACCTCAACACACTTCTAAATAATACATGGGACAAAGAAAATATGTGAAGAGAAATAAAAATACACATGACAGTGAATAAAAATTAAAATAAAACATAACAAAATATGTGGGCACAGCTAAAACAGTGCCATGTGGGAAATTTATAGCACTTAAAATGTTTACATTAGAAAAGAGGAAAGGTCTCAAATAATCCAAATCTCTACCTCAAGAAACTAGAGAAAAAAGAGCAAAATAAACCCAAAGGAAAAAGGAAATAAGAACTGAAATACATGATATTGAAAAGAAGAAAGCCATAAGGATAATGAAATAAAAAGCTGGTTCTTTTTTTTTTTTTCCCCCTAAAGATTTTATTTATTTATTTGACAGAGAGAGCTCACAAGTAGAGAGGCAGGCGGTGGCGGGAGGGGGGTGGGGGGAGAGGGGAAGCAGGCTCCATGCTGAGCAGAGAGCCTGATGTAGGGCTCGATCCCAGGATCATGACCTGAGCCGAAAGCAGAGGCTTTAACACACTGAGCCACCCAGGTGCCCTTAAAAAGCTGGTTCTTAATGGGGGAAAAAAAATAAAAGCGATAAACCTCTAAGAAGACGGACAAATATAAAAGATACAAATCACTGACACCAGGAAGGAAAGAGAAGATATGCCTCTCACCATTCTCATCCAACATAATATCGGAAGTTCTAGCCACTGCAGTAAGGCAAGAAATAGAAACAAAAAGCATGCTTTTAGAAGAAATAAAACTCTCCCTATCTGCAAGGAATGATGATCTGTGTACAAAATCCCAAGGAATCTGTAAGAAAGCCCTTAGAACCATTAAGTGTATTTGATAAGGTACAGGACATAAAATCAAGACAGAAATATCAATTCTATTGCTGTGTATGAACAAGGAGTATGTGGAAACTGAAAAAAAAAAAAAAGAAGAACACACAGTATCATTTAGAATTGCTCTAAGGAAAAGAAGATACTTAGTTTAAACTCAAAATACAAACCAGATCTGTCTGCTGAGAAATGCAAAATGCTGATAAAGAAATCAAAGAAAATGGAAATAAAGACATACCATGTTCATGGATTGGAAGACTTGCTATATACAGATGTTAATTCTCCCGAAAATGATCTATAGGTTTAATGCAATTGTTATCAAATTCCCAGCAAGATTTTCTTTTTCTAATAGACACAGACAAGCTTATTCTAAGATACGAATGGAAAGGCAGAGGTCCTAGAATAGCTAAGCCAATACTGAAAATGGAAAATGAAGTGGGAGAAAGCACTCTATCTGATATTAAGGCCTACTGTATGCTGTAGTAATCAACAGAATGTGATAATGGCAGGAGAGATATACAGATCAGTATGTATATGTACAGGATGGAGAACCCAGAAACAGGTCCATACAAATATGCCAACTGATTTCTGACAAAGGAGCAAAGCAATTCAATGGGAGAAGCACAGTTTTTCCAACATGTGGTACTGGAAAAACTGAGCATTCCAGGCAAAACAAAACAAAACAAATCCCCCAAAACCCCTAAACTTCCACCTAAACCTTGTACATTTTCATGGGATAATTAACTCAAAATGGATCAAGGATTTAAACGTAAAATGTAAAACTACCAAATTCTAGGGAAAAAAAATGGGATCTAGGGCTAGGCAAAGAGTTCCTAGCTTTGATACCAAAAGCATTACCCATAAAGGGGAAAAACTGGATAAACTGGCTTCATCAAACAAAGTTTTGTTCTGTGAGAGACCTTGTTAAGAGCGTGAAAGGGAAAGCTACAGACCGGGAGAAAATATCTGCAAAACATAATATGTGACAAATGAGCGGTATCTAGGATGTATAAAAACACCTCTCAAAATATTTAACAACAATAAAGCACAATAAACAACAAACAACAAAAAACAAGCAACCTAACTAGAAAACAGGTAAAAAACATGAAGAGACACTGCACCAAAGAGGATCTACGGATGGTAAACAAACACATGAAAAGATGCTCTATATCATCTGCTGTTAGGGAAACGAAAACCAGCTCTTACACACCTATCAGAATGGCTGAAATAAAAAAGGGCTCTCCGATGTTGGCAAGGATGCGGGGAAAGTGTCACTCACACGTGGCTGGTGGGGATGCAGGATGACGCAGGCACTCTAAAAACAGCTGTAACATTAACCACGCAACTGCCATTCAACTGAGCGACTGTACTCCTGGGCACTTAATTCCACACGCGTGAGGATGTGCGTACGTGCAAATACACGTACGTGAATGTTCACAGATTTATTCCTAATAGTCAGAAAACTGGAACAACCCAGAGGCCCTGAACGGTCACACGGCGTGCTGTGCTAAATCTGTACCACGGATACCACTTGGCAAACAGAAGACGCAAACACGATGGATTTTCGATACCCACAACTACTTGAGCGATTCTCCAGGGAACTGTGCAGAATGATGAGAGGTCATGTACTGTATGGCTTCATTTACGTAATAATCTGGAATGAATTAAAGTTTTAGAATTGGAGAACTGATTAGTTACTGCCAGGGTCACGGAAGGGGCGGAAAGGAGGGGCTATGAAAGGCAACATAAGGGACCCTTAATGGTGATGGGAATGTTCTGTATCTTGATGATGTTCCCTTGTCAATATCTTGGTTATGATACTGTATCACAGCTCTACAAGCTATTACCATGGAAGGTAAGTGGGTAAAGGGTACATGGGCTCTCCTACACCTGGATGGAACTCCACAATTATCCCGAAATTAAAGTTAAAAAAAAAAAAAAAAGGACTAGGTCTGGTCGCCAGCTCTGCCGTGTTACTGGGAGGCTGACCTTGAGCAGATTTTAAACTCTCTATTCTCAATTTTCTCATTGGCTACATGGGACAATACCAACTGAAAAATGGTAAAAAGTGGCAAATGTCATTTGTGAAGGACAGGGTAACGTGCACAGCACATAGTGAGTACTTCGAAAACAGCTTGCTAATGCCACATCTCTATGGAGACCCAAATATTATTCTAAATAGTGTCATTCATATGTCCACTGTTAAAGCCATGACAAAGCTATTAATTTAAAAGGTCTCTTCCCAAACTGATCGGCCTAAAAATGGTGTGGCGAGGGGAAGAATTTTTGATTTTAAAAATTGTAAGATAAATTTCAAACTAGTTACTGAATAGTCGCAACAGATAAATTGAGTTTAAAATGGAACTACAGTTAGTAAAAAGTTGGGGAGAAAAATAGGATATTGGCTAACAAATCTTATTTCAGTTGACTAGGAAGTCAGTAAAAGTTAATGTAAAAGTTAAGACGGAGTTTTCTAAAATGTACTTAACACGATGACTTAGATTTAAGATTCTATGTTTCTAAACATTTTCTCCACCTCCGGCTTAAAAGAAAGTGGAAGGGAGTCAGCTAAATCCTTATACTTTTATACCTGCTTGCTTTGGAGGTTCAGAAAAGCAGCAAAAATACAATCTGGCTCTGTAGTAGAGAAAGACAATGACATGCACTCTACCCCAGAAGATGAGGGGAATTTTAAGCACACAGTGGATCCCGTTGAATTACACTGGGCTCCTAGCCTTAAAGTTGATGAAGTACTGGCCCCAGCTGACTCACAGAGAGGCTTTTGAAAGAGGTGAAAAGGAAAGGAGTGTTTTATCATTCAAATTATTCCCTTCCTTTCATTCCCCAGCAAGATTCTAAAAGAGCTATTTCTACTAAAATAAATTATTTTAATAACAAATACAGAGAGCGGGAATACCAGTACAAGCCTGGAAGGAGGAAGGCCTAGGAGGCCAGACCCAGGGTTCCATCATTCAGGTCCCCACGAAAGGCCACTTTCCCCCAAGACCTGGAGTGTTTTCTCATGGGTGAAGTGAAAGTAATGTACCAGATAGGTTTCTACAGCCCTCTGCTAAATTTAAAGTCCCTTGGGGCACCATAAAATCTAGTCTCCAGACAGCTGTCTGGTATGACAAACTCTCCTCTACCTCTGCTGTGAGACATACCTGTAATTTGCTTTCCCCAAAATGGGCCCGGGGAAAGAGCAGGTGAGAGGACAAGGAAAGGAGTAGGGAAAACTAAAAACTAAAAAACAAGACAAAAACTCTGCAATGATCATAGGAGGAGGGAATCTACTTCCTGCCGCTCATGGTCAATTTTATCCAGATTTCCTTTCTTTGGGGCCCTTTGGCACAGACTCACAGGAGAGAGAGACTAGAACCCAGACTTTGCCAGCTCTACAGGTTTCCCCCCAAAACACTGCCAAGAAGAAGAGGAGGGGCAAGGAATAGGAGAGCCAGAAGAGTACACACCACTTAAAAGATACTCTGAAAGTTGCAAAGCAAGGAAGGACTATGTATCCTGATTCAGACAAACAGAACAATTACAGACCGCGGAGGAAATGTGAACACGGGCTGGGTATCTGAGAATATTAAGTAAGGAGTTACGAACTCTTAGGTCTGATAAGGGTACCAGGGCTGTTTTTAAAATAAGGTCTTATCTTCCGGCGACAGACGCTACGAGAGTTTCTAACGGCGTAGCACGGTGTCTGGGATCTGCCGCAAGCCACAAGGCAGGGGTCTGGGCGAACCCAGCTGTAAGGAGAAGATCAGGGCCGAAGGTGGGGGAGGGGGCGTGGGGGCGGACGGCTCCTTCTATTCTCCGGACTGTGGGTACGTCTGAAATTTTCCTAAGAAGCAGTTCCACCGAGGGCCTTGCGGCCGGTTTCCCCTCCGGTGTACGCGGCTCGTCCGCACTTACTGGGAGGGCAGGAGAAGGAGGGCTCCCTGACCCCCGGAGGCTGGCTGTGGGAAGCGCCCAGAAGCCATCCCGCAAGGGCGCGTCCCCGACCCGGGGTCCAGGACCGGGCCCTCCCAACCCCCCGAAGCCGGCAGCCCCCGAGAAGGGAGTGGCGGAGGCACCCCTCCCCGGCCAGCGCCCTCCCGTGCCACCCCGCACTCCCGCTCCCCAGCCCGGGCAGCCGGGAGCTGCGGCCGCACCTGCGCGCACCTGGGCGCACCTGGGCGCAGGTGCGCGGGCGGGGACGCGGAGGCGCGCGCACCTTGAGGATGTTGTCGAAGATGGTGTCGCGGAACTCGAGCAGCGCCTTCTGGTCGAACTCGCGGCCGTGGATGATGCGCATCTGCTTGAGGAAGGTGGACTTGCCGCTCTCGCCCGCGCCCAGCAGCAGGATCTTGACGAGGCGCCGCACGGCGCGCCGCTCGCGGGCCAGCCCCGCGTCGATGTCCCGGCTGCGCCGCCGCGCCTCGCGCTCCGCGTCGCGGGCCCCGCCGCCGCCGCCCGCCCTGCGCTCGCGGGCCCCGCCGGCCTCGGCCGGCAGCAGGCAGCGGCTGAGGGTCCGCACCACGCCGGACATGGCCGCTCAGGCCATGGACCCCGCCGCGGGCGAGGCGAGCCCCGCGCGGCAGCCGGCCGCTCCCTCAGGCCGCGTCGGTCCGCCGCCGCCGCCGCCGCCGCCCCGAGGCCCGCTCTCGCCCGCCGCTCGGCCCCGGCGGAGGGGCGGTGCGCGCGCCTCTGGAGCCCGGCTATTGGGCCGGCTGTCGTCCATCCGGGCGAACGCGCCCTCCGATTGGGCCGTGCCGCGCCGGGAGGCGGGCGTCCCTCCGCCCTCGGGGCGGGGCCGGCGCCGAAAGAGGCGGGATCTTCGGGGTGGGGGCGCTTCTCATTGGGCGCCCGGGATGAGGTTCTTTCTTTCAGAATGAAAGGGAGGCGGGGTGGCCGGGGAGGCGGAGCGGCCGTCCGCCATGACCAATTATAATTGCTCTGGCGTCACGTCCATCACGGCGAACGGGCTTGGGATTGGGGGACTGGCGAAACCGGGCGGGACCAGAAGTGCCAGGTGTACAGAAACAGTCTCCCTGGGTTCCCAGTTGGGTCAACCTGTGAGACCAGAGGTTCGCTGAGTGGACTATGCGTTGCCGGAAAATGCCAATAGGAAGTGCAGCTGCTCTTTTTAGGCTTACAGAGACAGCTGTTCCTAAACTATTTCCTCCGAGAAACACGGGGTAAGGGGACACACATTTTCAAACAAATGCACACTTTGAGAGTGGCATGGCCTCTGGGCGTCTGTCTTCTCTGAAAGCTGGCTAAGCAATCAAATCACCAGAAGCACCCCCTCCCACCCCGAAAAAGTCTTAGGTAGCATAGTGATTGGGGTCTGCAGTTGCTGGGTCTGAGTTGGAATCTCCCCTCAATCCCTTACCGGTTGCAGAAGCTTATAGGCAGCTCCCCGCCAACCCCCAACCCCATATTTAGCGTCAATCTTCTCTGCAAAATGGGGGCGACTAGAGCAACCACCTCCTACGGTTATGAAGACACAGACTGAGAACGTGAATTTGTAAAACACTCCGCAGGCTGCTGAGACCCAAATAAGATCTTGCTAAGAGTTTGCGGACCTTATTACAGATTTGAACCTGTCCCAGGTGAAGCGAGTCAGAACCTCTTAGGAGTAGCTCAGGTATCTCTTAACCTCCAGGTGACTGGCCAGATTTGGGAACCGTGGTCGGTTAAAAGCCAAACTGAAGTGTATTAAAATGGTTAAGAGTTTTAAGTATTGGAGCAAAAACTCAGTCAAACCAGAAGTGGTTAAGAATACTCCTCGTAATGGGCCAGGGAGAAGAATTCTATAGAGAAAGCGCCAGGAGCAAAGAAAGGAAATTGATTCTCTATAGCTTAAAGGTTAGCTGGCTGTTTGTGATTGGTTGTCTTCAGCGTTTCGATTTTGTAACTGTGAAGCATTTACCGGCTTGGATTTTGGCTTGCTTTCCTAAGCCATCACTGCATTAAAGCCACTTTAGTCTAATGGCCTCCTTGTTGAATTGTTTTAGCAAGTCTTAAAGATGATCCTGTCCCCAAACCCTTCTCACCAGGTGGATAAAATAAAAACCAGCTTTAAAACGACTGACCCAAGTACCCAGGTTCCACACAAGATGGACTGGAGCCCTGCTCTCTCTTTCGCTGTATCAGTGTCTCTGAGTAGAGAGGAGTGAGTGTTAGAAAAAGTGATTTTGAATGTTATGTCATCCCATTCTACAAATAACGTTTACGTATTCATGAAAACACCAGGCACTGGAGACTTTAGGAGAGGAAGCTGAAAGTGGAAAAGATGCATTCTTTGTGTCAAGAAACTTCCATGTTAAGGAACCAGGATGCTCAAGTCACTGAGCACACTGGAGAATACAGGAGTCCCTAGTCTCTGCCTCAGATCCAGGATATTCCAGGATCTCAACTCCCCAAGGAGCCTAAGTCCCAATGATGGGTGGCATGTCATTTACAGGAGCATGAATTTGTATCACTTATGAGTCAACATATGATCTAGTATTCTGTCATCCTTCAAACATGATGAAAAAGGAAGTCTTGTTTCTCTGTTAAAATGGCCTTCTGCAGAAAGACACAACACCAGTGTTATGACAGAAGTGGAAAGGACTTGCAGAAGCCTCAGAAAGCAGTGTTTCTTAAAGAGAAAACAGGACTTTTGAGCAAATAAAGAGGGAAATGTAGACTTCAATGGTGGACCAGAGTTAGCTCTTCATTCAATTAAAAGAAATAATGAAAAGGTAAGGCACAAAACACTGTTGAGCAAGTTACAAATAACTTTACATCTTTATAAATAACTTTGTGTCTGTGTTTATGCAGTTATTACATAGTATCCAGTCTGGGGAGCTGATAAGGTCTCTGGGCATAGCCCTTACATTTGTCAAAGGGCTCAGGTGCTTGAAGTAAACAAGCTTATCTGTGTACTTAATAATGATCTCTTAATGATCCCTTACATTCGTGTGATGAGTTGTAGTTTTTTAAGTGCTTCCACATACACCATCTCATTTGTCCTCTGCTGGGAGGGAGGCAAGGCAGAGATTACTGTAACAGAACAATCTGGGTCCCAGGAAGTTCACGTCACATGTCACGGGAAGTATAGTTAGTAAGTTGCGGAAACTTGATTGGGGAGACCTGACCCAGTGTCTTCCCCACGTGCAGTATGAAATGGATGAAAGCATGAGAACTTGGAAGCTCGGTTCTACCTCCTATTAGCTATGTGATCTTGAACAACTCAGTTAACCTCTCACGCATAGAACGAAGGCCCTAACACATAATGGGCGTTCAGTAATTTCTAACATTGTTATCATCCTCTTGGAGCTGTGGGGATCCAGTGCTAGAAATTTAGAACAATGATACTGGCATGATGAGGAAGAATCCAGAAGGACCAGACACTGTATGATATTAAAATCTAAAACCTGGGGAAAGGTCAGGTTAAATAAATTCAGGTACAGCTGTATAGATGAAATAACATACAGTTCCTAAAAATAAGCAAGACCGAAATTGGTAAACAGATGGCCACCATGTGTTTAAAGATTGGTCGAGGGGTGGGAGGGGTGGCTCCCTCCCACCTTGTGTTCAATTCCACCTCCTGAGCTAAGGGGCAGCCGGGAGGGAGGGTCCAATGGCAGAGCCTGGAATGCGTATATGGAAGAGCGAGCTTCCCTGGGATCTCTGGAAAAGAGAACAGCCACAGGACTCCCAGTCTCCAACTCTCACTCTCACTCATCAGCAGCTCCAAGGTCAGGGATAAGGCCCAAGACTCTGGGGTTCCCAAAAGGAATAATCTCCCCTTGGATCCTATGAATGTAGTCCTGTGTGATGTCTTCTCTGGCCTGGAGAGAATGTGGGAGAGCTGCATGGGCAAACGGGCTGAAAGCTTTCCCGTCTCTGAGGATGGGAGCTCGCCAGCAGCCACAACTGCTGAAACACAGGAGCTTCCTCTCTGGGCTCAGGGGAGCAACATCTAGCCTGTTACCTCATATTTCCTCACTACAAAGGGACCCTAAGAGCTTTCCCTGGAAGCCAAAGAGCTGTGAGTAGAAAAGAGAAAGTCTGAATAGGCTTAAGGGGACTGAGGTGCCAAAGAAACGGAACATCTCAAATAATGATAAATGGATGAAAGCTTGACATCATCACCATCACCAGCACCACTACCATGATTGTCACCACCATCATCACAATTGTTACCACCATCATCACCATCAGCACTACCATCATCATCACAATCACCATCACCACCATCACCACCATAACCACCATCACCATCATCACCATCCCATTACCACAATCATCATCCCACCTCAGGAGAGTTGTTCATGGTATAAAATGGCATTGTAGGGGTGCCTGGGTGGCTCAGTGGGTTAAAGCCTCTGCCTTTGACTCAGGTCATGATCTCAGGGTCCTGGGATGGAGCCCCCATCAGGCTTTCTGCTCAGCGGGGAGCCTGCTTCCTCCTCTCTCCTCTCTGCCTACTTGTGATCTCTGTCTGTCAAATAAATAAATAAAATCTTTAAAAAAAAATAAAATAAAAATGGCATTGTAGGGACAACTGGGTGGTGCGGTTGGTTAAGCATCTGACTTTTGGTTTTAGCTCAGGTCGTGATCTGAGGGTCATGAGATCAAGCCCTGCATCAGGTTCTGTGCTCAATGCAGAATCTGTTTGAAACTCTCTCTTCCTCTACCTTTCTGCCTCCCCTCTGCTCACACACTCTATCTCTCAAATAAATAAATCTTTTTTAAAAAATAAAAATGATAAAGAGGCATTGTACAACAACAACAAATGATAATGGTAACCACTGAGAAATATTGAAAAGAAGATGAGAGAACTGGAAGATAAAGTGAAAGAAATATCTCGAAACCCAAGGACAAGTATAAAGAGATAGGAATCATGAGAGGAAGGAAGGGAGAGTTACATGGGAATGCTAAGAGTTCTAGAAGGACGAGGGAGAGGAATGGAAGAAGGAAGTAATAAAGAGACTTCCTTTTCTGACAGTGTTGTAGATCAAATACTCAGACCAACCCTTCTGCAATAAAAATTACAAATGCCTTATAAACTATTTAAAACTTTTTTTAAGAGTCACTGAGCTGATTTAGGAAGCGTCAGGGGCCAAAATCAAAGTGGAAACAAAAAATTCAGAGTTAAGCAGATTAGTGCTGAAGCCACCAGCTTTCTTGACAACATCTGTTGAACCCTTGAAGATTAGGGTTCTATTTTCCTGGCTGCAGGAGATAAAAACCTTAAGATCGTTGAAGGTAGGGAGTCTGATAGGAGAGACCTGTGTAAACCTAGGACCAGAAAGGACTACATATTCAGTGATAGAGCTGGTAAAATCAACAGTATGGATGTCAATCATTTCTCAACAGATAAAGTTCCAAAGGAAGCAAGTGTACATTTTTTTTTAACAACCAGTGAACACCGAAGAAAATAAAGCATCATGAGTGAAAGACAGCCCAAGATACAGACAACAGAATCACACTAAAAAATGTGGGATATTGAACTTGTCAAATACAAATGATAGAATGAAGATGCTTAATATCGCAAGAGAAATAAAAGAGCCTGGATGGCTCAGTCAGCTGAACGTCTGATTCTTGGTTTTGGCTCAGGTCGTGATCTCAGGGCCTTTGGATCAAGCCCTATGTTGGGTTCT